GTAGCAAACCGGATGTTTGGAGTATGAGTGTCAACGTGGTGAGATGGCTCACACTCAGAGATATGGATCTCAAATAATAGCGCGGCTTGTACTGTAGGCGGGAATGCGATGGAAAAACCTCTTGATCGGGCTTTTCCAGATCATCACGGCGTTTGAGCAATTGTTCCGCCAACAAATGCATATTGAATTTTCTGCGACGCAATTGGCAAATCAAAGTTGGCACTCGTGGAGAATAGAAGAACTATGAAAGTGATGATGGTTTCAAAATTTTCCACGGGGAAGTATACGAGTGCAATCTTAGAATGCTTTTATTTTGAAAATGGAGCATTTTATTTAAATCTGGTTACTGCTACAGTGGTCGAAAAGCGGAAGTCTATGTTTACACCTAAAAATCTGAAAAGAAATTAAGTTTTCTGTATTATATGTCTATTGAGTAGTCCTGAAGTTTTCTACTAACGTAGCACTAACCAGATTTAAATAAAATGCTCCATTCACAAAATAAAAGCATTTTTAGATTGCACTCGTATACTTCCCCGTGGAAAATTTTGAAACCATCATCACTTTCATAGTTCTTCTATTCTCCACGCGTGCCAACTTTGATTTGCCAATTAGCCTGGACCTTGATCAGGCGTTTTCAATTAGCCACACAATCACTTTCGTGAAGCTACGCATTCTAATCAGACGTGTCTATTGCTTAATACCAGTTGAACTGTACCAATTTATTTGAAAAGTGAGGTGAGCAGAGATATTAGATTACAAGTGAAATACTTAAATTGATAGTTATTGTAGTCTTTTCTAGTTCATTACCCATTATAAACCGTCGAAATCCGACAATTAATTGTGAGAAGAAAAAACGCAGGTATGTGTTATCGCGTGGTGTATGAGAATTGCAGAGATTAATTTCGTTGCGGGGTAGTTTTCCCTTCAACGAAGGGTTTTTTTTTATATATTCTACGAATCCTCGACGAGTGCATAGGAAGTTATCACGTGATTACCGTGGATCGTGAGATATCCGGTGGTTTCCATCCGTTCGTGACCCCAGAGGGTGAACGATTTGTCGAGCCCTAGTTCATCAGATAACCCCACCCAGTGATCCACGCTTTCCGTCACTGCCACTCATCCGTCGAGTGAATCGACCGCTCGTGAACGCTATTGGAAATCGAGCGCAAGTCGACCCATTGATCGAATCGGAATCTTGCTGACTCCCCCTAAGCCAAGTGTGGTTGAGCGTCGGCCTCTCGTTTTTCGACACTGCTACGTCACATTCGCCGACTCCCACCAAGCCAAGTGTGGTTGAGCGTCGGCTTCTCATTGCGATCGCTCTGCAACTTTTCCTCGTCGTAGAACACCGCCTTTGTCGCATCGTGATCACTACGCATCGAGCAACGTCGCAGCATTCTTTGTTCATCGGAACGGCGTCCACAGTGCTGTAGTAAGGGCAGAAGACAATAGCCTCGAAACTGTAAGTTTAGAATAGATAATTTGAGCTCAAATTTAGGAACCTTCCCCAGATCAATGTAAATATTGTTTTAACTATGAGAAGTTCCCTGAAAATACAAATGCTTCTTCGCCTAGTGGATTGTGAAGCTTCATCCTAAATACGGTAATATTAAGAGTTTGTTCCTTCCTTTCCGCATATTTTGTTTCCCGTTTGGGTAAGCTAGGGAAACCGTAGTGTTTGAGCCACTTAAACTCGCCCTCAGACCGAGTCTCATAGCCGGACCGGAAAACGCGTCAGCAGTCTCTCTAGTCAGAGACTGGCGCTTAAGCTGCTGTTCGTTGTGTGCACAGCACAAAGGTTACAAATTAACGCTATATTTGGCGTAAATTTACACGATATTTCATGAATTAGTAATATTACATGCAAGGTTGAAAACGATTTCGCTGTTTATGTCAAGTTTAGCACAAAATTAAACGAAGGGAGATTTTACGCGATAGTTAAAATCTCGGTTAAAATTCAGATTTTTTTTTTCTGTGTATAATCTGTAATTTTTCTACAACACATCATTGGAACTATTTCTAATCTGTTGATGCAAACATAACAAATAAACAAATGACAGTTGCCAGTATGCAACCTACGAATTACTCCTAGACATATTGAAGAATTTATGTTTTTAGCAAGGTTATGTATAGCAGATATTGGTAGTTTTATATTTTTCTTGTATACAACTTCACTGCCACCATTTGCATAACAGTCCCATGCAGATAGGAAACCCACAGGACATAGGACTGTTATGCGAATAGTGCCAGTTCAGAAACACTACTTTTTGGTAGAAATAGTTTATCGCTAGTAGCTTTAAAACTTTTTCAACACTTAGTTGAAATAACGTTTTTTTAACTGCGCAGAATTATGGCGGTTTTCGGTAGATTGTATTTTGATTTCGGCAAAACCTTGAGGTAGTTTAATTAGGCTACCAGGTCCCAGGGCCGATCTGGATCTTTACCACATTGGAAAGATGCACACTAGTGTTGCCAGATCAGTGTTGATGCTTACCAAAAGTGCATTTGAACCCGCTTATAAGAGCATATTAACAGATTAATCATCACCATTCACCGTACATTGTTTATTGCTCTGAACTAATAATAAATGATTAAGCACAGCATTTGATATTTTAGTAGGAATGCTGGATTTAGTCACAGTGGAAATCAATCCTTTATTGAATTGGATTTATTTCTATGGATTTGCATGTTTGGAAAGTATCATCACAAAGATTCTCCACTCGGTCTACAGCTTGTGGGCGGAAAGTGTTGTGTTTGTTTTTTTTTTTTATCTATTTATAGACTCAATTCTTAGAAATACGAAGCGAAAGACAAATCAAGCATTAAGCACAAGACCTTCAAGAAAGCTAACAACACGAAGTCTGGAAATGGCAATGTTTCATTCAAAACGTCGAGTATTTCAAGAATATTAACTCCGATCGTGACTTACTCAATGGAAGTTGCGACTGTTCTCAAAAGCAACAGAAATTCTCTCTGTATAATGGAAACCACCATGCTCGCAGCTCTAAAGGCTCTTAGTTTTGTAGCAAGACAGCATCCCGAGGCATTCACCAATGAAAGCCCAGAACAACCGCCACAAACTGTTATCAATGACTCACTAAGCGCAAGAAGGCAGTCCCAAAATCTTGCAGTCAGAGAACTGGGGAACCACACGATCAACAATAAAATTAGAGTGGCGCTTTGGACATGTGGTAAGGAACACATCCCAAGAAATACTAGGGAAAGCTCTCAATTACCGCGTGCATGGAAAAAAGAAACTAGGACGACCCTGCTTCACGTGGAAAACGAGTCTCAAACAGGACTTCGAAAGAAGCAACACAACAGCGGCGCATTGGAGGGAATTGGCATACAACCGTGGCGAATACAAGACGGCCACAAAGAAAATAATCAACGCACTTATCGAGTCTGAATATGAAGATTCTGTGAGCACGCAAAACACGGAAGATGATGTACGATTGTCGGAACTCGAAGGATTTTCGACTCCGGACAGCGAAGAGGAGCCTTTCCACGGATTTTAGCAGCTAAGTAGATGAAAAAATGTCACTAAATCACTAAACTAATCAATAACACAAGTAAATGAAATCATAAAACAAGAATTACAGGTACACTGAAGTCGCTTTTTACGCGGGTGATACGTCCCGCGTAAAAAAAAACCGCGTAAAAAAAAACCGCGTAAATTCCGGAATCCGCGTAAAAAAAAACCGCGTAAATTCCGAAATCCGCGTAAAAAAAAACCGAGTCAAAAAAAGACCGTGTAAGAAAAACCCGCGTAAAAAGCGATATACCGCGTAAATTCTGAAATCCGCGTAAAAAAAAACCAAAATCCGCGTAAAAAAAAACCGCGTAAATTCCGGAATCCGCGTAAAAAAAAACCGCGTAAATTCCGAAATCCGCGTAAAAAAAAACCGCGTAAAAAAAAACCGTGTAAAAAAAAACCGCGTAAAAAGCGACTCCAGTGTATTGCAAAACATGGTCCTCTGTACGTTTACTTTCCAAATTTTACTAATACTACTGTTACTCCGACTATCCCCTACTTGAAACACTATTCCTCTCTATCCGGCATCTTAAGCAGGATTCAATTGATCCCTGTGATTATTATTCTGTAGTGCCAAATCTTTACCTCTACCCTTGTGCTGTATGGACAGTAGACTGATGCAAAATTTGACTTTTTCGCTCCACAGTGCTTAAATGGTTTCAAATCGGGTCCTGATTAGCCTCCCAAAGTTACAACTCATTTGGTTAGAAACAGACTTCGCACAAGCCATTTGAAGTTTACATGTAAATTACTATGGGAAATCTCAACTTTTTGTTCATTGCCTTCTAGTCTTTTTCCATATTGAGCTGCGAAACAGTTCGATAGCCATTATTATAGAAAATTTTCTCAGCTACAACTTTGCTCAAGATCGTTTCTATGTAAAACGAGACAGGAAAAAGTTATTAATTATTTAAGAGATTGGTAAACTTATGACATGATCAAGCAGCTGCTCTGTAGGCAACACTGTATTTTGCAGTGTCACATAGTAGCCATGATTTTTGTGTCCTATTCAACGTCCCAAAAACACTAATGTTGCCTGTTCAGCAGTTGATTGAGTATGATCATAAGACATCAGCGCATTGAACCATTGATAACTTTCGATCCTGGCATTTAATCAAAAAGTTGTAGCTGGGAAAATTTCCTACAAGTACAGTTGAAAGTTTTTGAAGCAGACCGATATGGTGAATTATTAGATAGACATGAACAAAAATCTTGGTTTTACCATAGTAATTCCCATACAAACTTCAAATGGTTTGTGCCATCTCAGTTTCTCACCAAATGGGTTCATATTTTGAGAGGTTAGTCAGGATCAGATTTGGAATCGTTTAAGTATTGTGGAGCGAAAATTTCAAATTTTGCATCACTCTATTGGACAGTGATGTTTTACTGGAGACCTGGCCCTATGACCCCCTTCTGTGCTTGAAAATGAAAATGAAATTTCTTTCATAATAAGTCAGGAGTCATGTTTCGCAATTACATTCCTTTATTTTACTTTTTGCTTATGGCTACATGAGTTTTTAAGTGCATTGATAGTTTTAACTGTAGATGAATTTGAGGTCAATGTTTAGATGTAATGTCTTGTTCCTAACGGCATAGTTCTTCTTACTGGCAAAATAAGCAAAATTATGTACACCTGTTATGCAAATAAACGAACGAAAAAAAAAAACTATTGAAGACAAAATAATGGTGAAATCAATTCCGAGCGTCATCAATTTACTCGGATGGTTCATTTTTCACCGTCACTGCTGGTGGTATCTCTTGTTCGGTAGCCTCACTGTTTCCGGCCGAGAAGGTGGCACTATTCTGTTCGAGAAGACGTTTCAAGTTAGGCGAGGAATTCCCTGCGGTTCGAGCGGATTTTCGGAATGGTGGCAACACCGACTCGTCTAATTCGTTGGTGGTCGTGTTGCTGCGGAGAGGTCGCTTGCGCAACTCGGCGCGAAGTGCTGGTAGAGATTCTCGTTTTAGCGACCGCCGAATGTCATGCTCTTCCGATGCGGAGCTAACCTCCTCGGATTGACTGGAATCGGGTCTTTCCCGCTTGATGACTTCGACCTGCTCGCTGGAACTCACTTCGTCTTCATCGTCGTCGTTGTTCCGTTCTTCGCTTCTGGTGTGTTTAGAGCCTGCCTCTCCCCGGAGACGTGCCAATACGTTCGGTATTTCCGACCGGTGTTCAGCCAGTCCTTGTGTAATTTCCAGAATCAGCTGACGACGTCGTTGCATCAATGTTTCCGCTTTGGTCCGGTAGGTGGCAACATTCTGCATGAAATCCGGATGGAACTTTTTGATGTGTTCCATGTAGTTGAACACGCTGAGCTGGGTTTCGCCACATTCAGCACATTTCACACGGCCGTACGAATGCGACGATAGATGGCCGTTGAGGGCCGTCGAGCGGGTGAAGGTCTTGTAGCAAACGATGCAGGTGAACGGGCGAACCGATGTATGAACACGCAGGTGTACCGCCAGGCTGATGCCCAGGGAGAACTTTTTGCCACACTCCTTGCATTTGTGGCGCTTCTCGGAGTAGTGCATGGCACGCATGTGCTGCCGCAGGCCAAAGTGTTCGTTGAACACCTTCTGACAGAAGGAGCAACGGAACGGACCGGTGATGATTGGAATCTGCGGCATGGCAGCCGGCTTGTTGGCGCTCGTGACCGGTGGACGGCGCAGGCTGTTGTTTCGGATCATCGGGTGGGTGGAAGAGTGCACAAGAATAAGGGATAAGATTATTTCGGTGTCTACATGTTATTACAACTAGTTGTTAGTTATTCAATTGAAATGAGTTTAAATTTATCACTCATTTTAAAATTGTAAATCGAGCTGTTATTTTCGTTTAACGGGGTTTGAATTTACTGTATTCGATTTTTTCTTAAAAACACTTGTGTATGGTGGCATTTAATATCAAGAAAACTACCACCTCTGTCAGAATCCAAGGGATAAATATAGTACCGCTGTGTTTAAGCAAAGGGTGAACCACAGAGTTGAAGCAACGTGTAGAAAAATTAAGAAATACGTAAACCTCTGCTTTGTGGATGGCAGCTTAACTATCAAATTCGTTCAGAGTTTTTACTTTTGAACAAAATTACGTCCCAACTGGAACACCTGCCTCAACCCGTTTTGAGAGCTTCCGAGGGATAATTTGTGACTGATTTTGATATTTCCAGTAGTTCTTTTTAGTATCCAAGTTTATCTGATGATCCCTGGACTTTTATGAAGTATACTGATCGTCTTTGAGGTTCCTGAATTCCTTTGAAGTTCTTTGAAATTCTCTGAGGTTTCCTGAAGTACTCCTACGTTCCCTGATTTTGACGTAGGACTACGTCTGTGATTTATATATGGCGGTACACTCTGTGAAAACCAAAAATAGAACATGTAACAAAATTATGAAAGATTTTGAACGTTAATAACTCAGCTGCCCCTGGACCAATTTCAATAATTTTATCACCAATCGATCAGAAATATTGCTATGCATCTGTAAAATTAAGACTTAATCATTTTCCAAAATGTCGTTATTGAAAATTGGACGAATGTGCAACTGTTGCTATAGTAATTAAAATTATAACCGACTACCTGCAAAAAAACCGATTTCCCTAACACAGATTTCAAAGTTGAATTCCATCCGGTCTTACCAAACGAAGTTTATTCAATCACCACGTGGTGAGTGGTGGTGTTGTGCGGTACACAACGAAAGGCTCCCTGCAAGCAGCTAGCTATTAAGGCTGGCCTCAGCCGCTGATCGGATTCAGTGGTGTCCGGTCGTTGGCATCAGCAGCAGCAGCAGTGCTTTCGGCAAGTGGCGTTGAACATTGTTCTCCAGCACACAACAGAAGGCTGCCCGCAAGCAGCAAGCTGCAGTCCACATGAGCATCCATAGAAGGAGGAAGAAGTCGCACCGCTATTGATCGAAATCAGTAGCACTTCGAGGGCTGTGGACCATCTATGCCAAGGGTGTCATACTAAAGAGTATAAACAGAGAGAACCCCGCTCAAATTCCTATTCCTACACAAAATATAAGCTTCTGCTGCAGCTAAAAAATAGAATTTATTAAATAGGACCACGTAGTCCTACGTCACCATTGCGTACAACCCCATAGGGCTGTCCCTTGAAGTTTTATATAAGGGTTCCAGCAATTCTCAGAAGTTCCATAATCTTCTCTTAAAACATTTCTGAAAACACCTGATTTTATTTGAGGTTTCAAAAACTTATCTGAAGTTCCCTGAACTTGACTGAAATACACTGATCGTCTTTAAGGCTGAGGTTCCCTGAATTTCTTTGAAATTAGTTGAACTTATCTTAGGTTTACTGAAGTATTTTAAAGTCCCCTGATTTTATCTAAGGTTTCCAGCGATTCTCTTAAGTTACATGATGATCTCTTAAAACATTTTTGGAAACAGTTGATTTTATTTGAGGTTTCAAAAACTTATCTGAAGTTCCCTGAACTTGTCTGAAGTACACTAATCGTATTAAACGCGGAGGATCCCAGATTTGTTTTTAATTTTTTGAACTTCTCTGAAGTTCCCTGAAGTTTTTTGAAGTTCCATGATTTTCTCTTAAAACATTTCTGAAAACACCTGATTTTATTTGAGGCATCCAAAGCTTAACTGAACTTATCTGGAGTACACTGATCGTCTTTGAGGCTGAGGTTCCCTGAACTTATTTGAACTTCTCAGAGGTTCCCTGAAGTCCACCGAAGTTCCCTGATTTTATCTAAGGTTTCCAACGATTCTATGAATTTCCATGATCTTCTCTTAACACATTTCTGAAAACACCTGATTTTATTTGAGCTTTCCAAAGCTTAACTCAAGTTCCTTGAAGTTATCTGAAGTACACTGAGCGTCTTTGAGTCCGAGGTTCCCTGAATTTCTTTGAACTTCTCTAAAGTTCACGGAAGCCTTCTGAAGTTCCCTGATTTTATCTAAGGTTTCCAGCGATTCTCTGAAGTTCCATTTCTCAAAACATTTCTGAAAACTCCTGATTTTATTTGAGGTTTCAAGAGCTTATCTGAAGTTCCCTGAATTTATCTGAAGTACACTGCCCTAATAAACAAATACCATAAACGAACTGTATCCCGGATGGATAAACTATCCCACAAATGGTTTGGATAATACCCAGTTATTTTTATTAGGGTGATCATCTTTGAGACTGAGATTCCCTGAATTTCTTTGAAAATCTTTGAAATTATCTGAGGTTCCCTTAAGCCCCCCGAAGTTCTCTGATTTTATCTAAGGTTTCCAGCGATTCTATGAAGATCCATGATCTACACTTAAAACATTTCTGAAAACACCTGACTTTATTTGAAGTCTCCAAAGCTTATCTGAAGAACTCTGAACTTGTCTGAAGTACAATTATGATCGTCTTTGAGGCTGAGATTACCTGAATTTCTGTGAAATTGTTTGAACTTTTCAAAGGTTCCCTGATTTTAACTAAGGGTTGCAGCGACTCTGAAGTTCCATGATTTTCTCTTAAGACATTTCTGAAAACACCTGATCTTATTTGAGGTATCCAAAGCTTAACTGAACTTCCCTGAACTTGCCTGAAGTAAACTGATCGTCGTTAAGGCTGAGGTTCCCTGAACTTCTTTGAACTTCTCTAAAGTTCACTAAAGTCTTCTGAAGTTCCCTGATTTTATCTAAGGTTTCCAGCGATTCTCTGATCTTAAATGATCTTTTCTTTAAATATTTCTGAAAACACCTGATTTTATTTGAGGTTTCCAAAGCTTATCTGAAGTACACTGATCGTTTTTTAGGCTGAGGCTCCCTGAATTTCTTTGAAAATCAGTGAACTTCTCTGAGGTTTCCTTAAGTCCTCCGAAGTTCCCTGATTTTATCTAAGGTTTCCAGCAATTGTATGAAGATCCATGATCTTCTCTTAAAACATTTCTGAAAAGACCTGATTTTATTTGAGGTATTCAAAGCTTATCTGAAGTTCCCTGACGTTGTCTAAAACACGCTAATTGGCTTTAAGGCTGAAGTTCCCTGAATTTTATTATTTTTTTTTAACTTCTCTGAGGTTTCCTGATTTTATCTAAGGTTTTCATTGATTCTCTGAAGTTCCATGATGTTCTCTCAAAAAGTTTTTTAAAACACATGATTTTATGTGAGGTTTCTAAAGCTTATTTGAAGTTCCATAAACTTGTCTGAAATACACCGATCGATTTCAGGCTGAGCTTCCTTGAAATTTTTTAACTTCTCTGAGGATCTCTGATTTTATCTAAGGTTTCCAGCGATTCTCGGAAGTTCCATGATCATATCGTTCAATATTACTGAAAACAACTGATTTTATTTGCGGTTTCCAAAGCTTATATGAAGTTCCCTGAACTTGTTTAAAGTACACTACTCGTCTTTTAGGCTGAGGTTCCCTGAATTCCTATCGAGTTCATGCCAATCTTCGTATCTGCCAAGTTCCCTGTACTTCTACAGAATTCCCTTAAATATTCCAAGTCTATGAAACTTTAACTAAGTGCCCTGTTATTAAAAGAAGATGACGGAACATTTATGAACTTTCTAGAAATTAAACAAGATTCCCTCTAAAACTTCAATGAAGTTCCCCAAACTTGGACAAACTTCCCACTTCTACAAAGTTTTCCCGAAATTTTACAAAGCTTCTTGAATTTCTAAGCCGTTCTCTGAAGCTCCCCGGATTTCAATAAAATTTTCGGAATTCCTACGATTTCTCGTGAACATCGACAAAGTGCCTAAAGTTTCACGAATCGTAATGAAGCGAAGGAACGAAGTTCCCCGAGTTTCTGAAAAATTCACGAAATTTCTCTAAACTTCTACAAAGTTTGATGAAGTTCTGCCAAATAAGCTAAAGTATCTTCAAAATTCTCGGCACTTCTACGACATTTATTGCTGAACTCCTATTTGCTGCACTTTTAGAAAATGTTAAGAGCTTCTACGCAGTTTCCTGAACTATTATTAAGTTTCCTAAAGTTCTACGAAGTATTCTGACGATCTATGAACTTCATTGAAGTTCTACAACGTACCCAGACATTGTTTTCTTCGTTGTAGGAGTAATTAGATCTATCATATGAACTTTTACAAGTTCAGTTCCCTAACTGTTCTCTGAATTTTCCTTAGCTTCCAAGAAGTTCCCTGAACATCTGTAAAGATTTACTTTCGTAAATCTGAAATATTGAGCACTTTCACCAAATGTTAAATTTGCGATGAAGACATACATACATGGAATACGATTCGTCGATATCGTTGAAGATTTTTTTTCTAAATATACCTGGCATTCCTGTTCTTAGCTGAAAGTCGCTGTTTTTTTTCTATAGTAAACTCGCGAAATTCCTTCATGATATATTCAGTATAATGGCATTCGGGAAAACAGGTCAGTGAACCCAAATAATCCAAAGCATATCGAACGTAAATTTCAAGTATGAAAGACCTGTAGTAGACAATCCTTCTAATGTCCTGGATGCAAGCTTGAAGTGCCTCTAGCTAGGGCCAGTACAGAAAACTTGGTGGTTACGTTCAGGGGGCTATTAGAATAAATTCAGGGAAATCAGGAGTCAAATGAATCATTTGTTTAAATTTGTGAAACAAACCGTATGTTATGTGGATATTTCTAAGAGATGTGCACCAATCTAAGCGGTTTCAAAAACAAAAGTAATTTTCATGCAGTTTCACAAACAAATGATTCCAATGTATAGGACCCAGAAGGAACGTCTCGAATTTGGTTGATAAATTCAAAGGTAAACCTACAGGAATTCAAAGGCCCAGCACTGATGCCAGTTAATGCAAGTCCAGAAGTCCACTAGAACAAGCACAGAAAGCTTTGAGTTCAAATCCACAGAACTCAAAAGATGAAATCCCGGAAAAATATTGGAACCAATATAAAGGACTTAGTCCAGGGGATCAGATTTATCCGCAATAACCTTTGAACCTTCCCCTCTACTGATTATTATTCATCGACCTTCATCAGACTCAGGCAATTTTCCACCGCATACCATGACCAGAAATAGTTAGTATAACACATTAACAGACGAAAAAATAAACGCGAAAACTCACCTCTCTTCCAGCACGGGCATCCGGCGCACCGAAACCGTCGCTGGTTGCACCTCTAGCAGTTCCGACTGTTGTTGCTGCTGCTGCTGCTGCAGCTTCTTCTGCTGCCGTTCCATTCTTTCCAACCGCTCCAGAAAGTTATGGTCGACCGTCGCCACTGCACTGATCACAAAGCCGCCCTCATTCGACAGTTCACTGTCCACGGCATTGACCGGCGTGCCATTGCGGGAGTTTTGCTGCGATTGCTGTTGCTGCTGCTGCTGTTCACTACTACTGGTGTTTAGCAACTGCGTCAGAATGGGATTATCCGAAACCGTCGAGTTGACTTCGTCATCCCCGAGAGCGCTTTCCGGTTCTTGTTTCACCTCGACAGGCGGTTCCAGTTCCACCTCCGAAGAAACGGACACCTTTCCAGATTTCGTTGCCTCCGGGGACAACGATCGAGCATCAGTTTTCAGTGCTTCCAGAAGGAACGAGACATCGCCGGAGGACGCACTCGAAACGGTGGGATGAGCCATGTCCATGTGCTTTTTCAGTGTGAGGTCTTTCTCGAACACCTTATCGCAGTGGTCACATTTGTGGCTCTTTTTCGAGAAGATATTCTTCTGCTTCAGATGAGCCCTCATGTGGTAGTAGAGCTCATGCTTTTGGAAGGTGCCCTTACATTCGACGCACTTGTAGGGATAGTGATCGTCACCACTCGACTCGAACGGTTGATTCGAGTTCAGAACGGCGTTGGCATTAGCAGCTTCGGACTGTGTCTCTAGTCTGCGCTTGGCAACGGGGCCATTGGCAAAAACGCGAATCCCCGCAGTCGACTGACGAATCGAATGAAGGGCTTGAGGTTGGCCTTGCAAACTGGCCTTGTGAACATTCACGTGAGATCTGAGATCGGGAAGAACCGAGAACATTGTGCTGCAGAAACGGCACTCGAAGGGAGCTTCCGGGACGTGGGTTTCTTCGTGGATCAGCAGCAGATCCCGATCGAAGAATGGCTCGTCGCAAACGCAACACTGGAATGGTTGTCCGGCCGGTTTCGGAATTAGCTTTGGCATAGCCCGGACGGACTGCGGCGATGGCCATGGCGACGAACTGAAGCTCAGCTGTTGTTGCTGACGCATCTGGTTGAACAGCTGGGGGTCGGCTTTCGGATCGACTCCGTGATTGCGCCGGTAGTGAGATTGCAGATTGCAGGATTGAGTGAAGTGTCTGTCGCAGATTTCACACCGGTAGGGTTTCTCGCCCGTATGGGTCCTGTCGCGGGAAAAAGGGGGAAAGCTGATTACTGAAAAACGAATTTTTTTATTGAATTTAAGTGATTCCAAATGTTTCAACAAGAATTTAGTTTTTTTTTATGTCCAGGAGGTTCCAAAGTACGTTACTTAGATTATGATACATTGCGAGTTGGTGGCTGTTTTCAAATTATAAATCCTATTAAAACTATCTGCGGGAGCTTTTCCTCGATATCAGACAACTTGGTCTAACATTTGTTTATACTTATTTAATGCTCTTAACTCAAGTTGGCCATGATAGTTTTACATAAATATAGTTAAGAATTATGTATGAAGAAAATTAAAAAAAAGGAAATAAATCTAGCTTGAAGTGAAATTTTATGAAACTAATAGCGAACTTGTTTATTATTCAGTTGCAACCTGGATCGGGTATCAAGATTGGGCCTGCTTGTTTTATGACAAACGTCAGTTTGATCGTTGTTTTTAAAACCTACCTCAGTTTGAGGTACGTACTGACAAAAGGTTCGGTTTCGCACTGATAATAAACGAATTCGCTATTACTGAAAGATTGTGTGGAAAAATAAACTTTGCCAATAGGGATCAGGGCCCTACAAAGTCACTTTCAATCGAAAATTATCAAGCGAGGACGAAGCTGTCAACCATAGCTTTCAATGGACCACTTTGTCAAGCAGTTTTACCGTGACTTTCTACCAGCGATTTCACAAAATTGGGCCAACAAATGACTATTTACTATGAAACGCACTACTTTTGGCTACTTTTCTCGTGGTTCTAGAAGAAAAACCCTCAAAATATTGTGTTATTTCGAAGTTCGAGTGGTAGGAAACGTCATTTTCAACTGCTCGAATTAAATGGTTAATTGAAAGTCATGCTGTGTTCTCTTCGAGCAGATCTTCTTCAACATCAACAGAACCACTTTCGATCAGTTTCATGCTGTTTGTTTTGGCTTGACTCGTGTTCATTCGTCTTGCATTGTCAAATGAATTTACTTTCGCATTGAAGTGAAGCTGTTCGATCACTCGGTTCATGTAAGCGCATGCACATAGATCTGTGCACGTCGATCTCAAATTTATCATTGTTGGGTGGTTTGTTTAACCATCAATATGGGTATGTTTGGAATCGGGGAGACGTCTAGAGACCGGAAATCGTTGACCGACGCCATTTTAAAATCCAAGATGGCGGCAACCGATTTCAGAAAAGTGGGAAATACTGACGCCGACTCATCAATATGAAAATCGATATGCGAGGCCATTTTAAAATTCAAGATGGCGACTACCCGTTTAAAAAAAGAGGGGTCAAATACCCATCAATATAGAGATTGCTGACGTTTATCGTACACACACTAGGTAGCGTATACGTATACGAAAAATGTTTTCATCGGGAAACAATCTTTCAGGGCGAAAAATTTTCCCGATGAAAACAAATTACTAACACAATCACACTTTAGCAATCTCTATAGAGATTATTGACGTTTAACGCACGCACACTAACGGAAGTCTATCGCCGTGTAAAGTTGTTTATTATTTACCTCGGGCTAACCTCAACATGCATGTAATTCGATCTGTCAAAATGAATTTGACAGCAGTTTGTTGTGTATTTTCCTCGGATTTTCACTACCACAGTTTCACACAGTGCACCAATACAACCAGGCGTGAACATCTCTATATGTATTTTTGGAATCGACATGTCGTCTAGAGACCGGAAAAAGTTGTAAATACTGATATCGACTCATCAATATGGGTATTTTTGGAATCGGGATGACGTCTAGAGATTGGAAATAGATATGCGACGCCATTTTGAAATCCAAGATGGTAGCTTTCGGTCCAAGAAAATGTGCGAAATACTGTCAAATACCCATCAATATGGATATTTTGCAACCCGGGGGTAACTTGACAACTCCAGTATATTGCCAGTGTACCCCGACAATTTGGTGCTGGTGGTTCTGTCAAACTCACAAGTTCCAGAAGTTTTATCTGAATAGGGCGAATGCAGAAATGATGTACAGTAAATAAAAGGATTAAAATTCATCTTATTATCGCGCGCCCCTTAAACCGGAATGCGCGTGTGATACACGTTAAGTACGACGTCAAAACTAACATTAGTGACATAAGAAGTCCAGTGATGCCAGCGAAAAATGTCATTTTGATAATCAGTTTATGATTTTTTTATGTACCTAGTCTCGTATGTTCTTGAGCAGAACAGACCCAAATGCTGAAACATGTGATTTGTAAGACGAAAATATGTGACTGTCTTCTAATTAATCGAAACAAATGAGAATTGAGCGTGGATACTTTCAGTGATTGCGATGCTATTGCTATTATCGTTGATGATGAACAATGAAAGCAAACAAAGAGCCTTATTATTACAGTATTCCCCAGCTAATCCGACAAATTTGTGGCCGGACTAGTGAGGTTGATCCGATAATCTGACTGTCAAATCCATACAAAACAATGTTACCAACCTAACACTGTAAAACTTCTCCATAAGAGACCGTGATGTCGGATTATTGAGTCGTCGGATTGGGGGGATACCATAGAGGTAACTCTAAGAAGGTCACGAAGAAACGTGCTCAATTTTTTGGCTCAGCTCTAGCTCTAGATTTGCTTGGGACCAATAGGCTAGTCAAATAGTGAGCTACGTCTGTCCAAGACATTAAAGGCATTTAACCTAAATATGTTGAATTTGATTCAATTAAACTAATTTTCAATTTCAGCCTCTCAAACTTTTTAACTTATTTACCTCGTAAGAGAAACACGGGAAAGTAAACATTTTTTATTTATTCGGTCCGTGGCAAACCTTCATCGCACAGCTATGCTCAAAGCAATAATCTGAAGGCTGATCAAATTCAAGAGCAAAATATAACTGAAGAAACCAATGTTTTTGGTTTGCCATTCAATGATATAAGCAGATGAAACTCAATCAATCGGTTCAATTTGTATGGATTTATTTCGTTTCACCACGAAAATCATAAATTCGCTCTTTTCAGATGGCATTTTTGCCTGTTGTATGACGTCCACACATGGTGAAACAAAAAGTTGGTTTCCCATAGAGAAATACCGTTGTGGTGGTGAAGGACAATCGCTTTGTTTTCGTTGTGTGGCGACATCTACGATTTGCAAGTGGGTACGTGAAACTAAGGTTATCTGTCACCTTGCCGGGGACTTGGTATTTTGTTAATCGGGATGACGTCTAGAGAATGATATCCCATGCCATTTAGAAATCCAAGATGGTAGCTTCCGATTTAAGAAATAGTGGGAAATATTGTCAATATGGGTATTTTTGGAATCGGGATGACATCTAGAGGCCTTAGGTCTATCTTTTGCGTATTTGACACCAAATTTGATTCCAAAATGTCGTCGAACATCGATTTCGGCACCTTCGCGTCGTCCCCGTTTTAAAAATACCCATATATTAGGATATTTGTCACTTTTTCTGAGCCTTGGACTCCAAAATGGCGTCGAATATCGATTTTCGGCATCCGCATACCCTATTGTAGGATATTTGAAAGTTTTCCTGAGCCCGATGGCAGCCATAGAACAACAACAACAAGTACTTATTTGAGCATTTCCGCGTGCTCATTGGTTTTGTCCTATCGGAGATGAACTAGCCAAAGGCTAAAAATCTCCTTAGTCTGTCAGCTTCAATCTGATTTCAGTTTCACGGCTGAGCAATCACGTTATGCCACATTTCTCGCGCAACACGAGAAAAGGGCCTATCATTGTTGATCGATTTTCTCTTTCGCGAATAACACGACTGCAAATGAATTTCCCATTCAGTGTGTTGTTTCAGGCGCAAGCTAACAAAATCAGGCGTAACATATGGGAATATATGGGAAACATTTCCCCTTTCCGATAATTGTATTGGTTTGCATGGGCGTACTTCGGTTCGCGTGTAAAGGGCCTTACAACTTTTGTTTACAAACTGTGCTGAGAACCTAGCGAGAAATTCGTTTATGTTGCAGTGGTCAGTGCTGTTAATTTTCATATCATTCGATTGAAGATGAACCAATACAACCATTCAATCAATTCTGTGTAAACAAATTCTCACATGACCATAATTTGAAGAGCCCTTTTCTCATTCGAAGCTCATCGTCACTGTCAATTGAGTCACTCACTATCATTTGATATACGACAGCGGAGTATGGAAGAAACCCAGCAAAATGGTCCCGAACAGACAAGCCAACCCGATGTCGGATCAATGTAAGGCAAATTTTAAGTCGATGTCAACCAAATGTCGTGTTGTTATCGGGTCGATTTTGTGTTTATGTCGGGTCAAAATCGTTTTGGGGTTTGGTAGAAGTCAGGTTGGTGTCGGGTTGGCTAAGCTTTTTCGCCGAAATGTCTACCAAAGCTCCGTTTATGTGTAGGTTACACTCAATTGAATGATATCAAGCGTTTCTCAAATGAGAACGATCCATGCCTTCGTCAAATGACTAAGCAACTGATATCACCCATTCGAAGGAGGTTTTTCATCAAAAATGTTCAATTGATTTTGAGAATTTACAGCACTGGCCGTGGTAAACCAAAGAGAAAGTCGATGAAGAGAATCGATCAACGAGAATAGACCCTTTTCAAATGTTACGCGAGATTTGTCTTTGAATTGAAATATGTGAACTGCAAAATGCGGCTTTTTTCTAGTAGCCGATAATAGAACAGCTTATTAGAATGCAGTTCAAATGGAATGGCTCCCGAACAAAAAGATGCTGCCGAAAATAGTCACACTCACCTGAGAAGTTTGGAGCGTTGTAAAAACGTTTTCAAACAGTTTTAAACAATTCAGTCGATTGGAATGGATAGATAACAAAGCAGTAGATAAATGTAAACAAAGAAACACGTCATATGTGTTCGTGACGCTGAAAATATGCAAATATGTGCAAATTACTTGAAAATCAGGTAACTTTTAATTGTTGCCAGCTTGAATATCATGTTTGAATATGATTTCATTCCCAAAATACGTAATATTCACCTGAAAAGTATGATGGAAAATATTTACGTACTTTTTCAGGCGAATAAATGGATTTGATTTGATGGATTCCAATAGAACACCAAAGTAGGGGAAATGCATGTAACGTCGGCCTAAGTGGCCCTTGTTTGGGCCCATACATAAATTCAGCAATCGACAAAATTTTCAATAGCAACCAAAATATCCATTAGTAACGTCCCAATAACGCGTTCATCTAGATAAAATTTATAAATAGCAGATTTTTAGCGATGGGCCCAATCTTAGATCCATAGGCCAACATTAGAGACATTTCCCCTAATAGTCGAGATTTGTACCTTTAAATTGGTAACCACGAGTTTTTCCACCTTCCTCATCCTCGCGCTGCTTTTGCCCACAAACTTAGCATATTGCATGACCAGGGTTGCCAAAAGGAAGTCATTTTATTTTTTGTCCAGAAAATATGTGATAATATCTGTATCAATAATAATTTATCAATTACATTCTATACAAATGTTCTAAGCAGAGGTGGTAAATGTACATTATTACTGCAGAGATGTCACCATACAAATTGTGTTTTTTTTTTTATTTTTTTTTTTTTTTATTATTATAGTCTCTTTAACACTCTTGGGTCATTCGTGACTTGTTCAGGGGTGAGGTTTGAACTCGTGACTTTGGCGTGAGAGGTATGGATGTTAACCACTACGCCGGGATCACCCCCTCCCATACAAATTGTATGGAGGGAACTAATATCATGACATTTGACTATACGTTTTAGTTTAATTTTTTAGCATCTTCAACTATGACATTTTTTTTTCTAAAAACGTTTGGTACATGACATTTACCACCTCTGGTTCTAAGCAAATTGATTAAGCAATTTATCAGAAGTCGTAAAACAGATATAAAAAAAGTTTATACTCATAACACAGAGCAAAAAAGAATGTAGGTATCTGACAGTATTTATTCTCCTTTTTGATTCAACAAATTAAAGATGTAGATAGATATTTAAGAATAGAAGAAACGAGAATTACACTGAAGTGAAAATAAAATTTGAATGATTGGTCATAATTTAAAAATCTATGATCTGTGAATACAGATTACTGTTTTGGAAGGCTCTGAAAAACCTATACAAACACAATTGATCATTTTGTCAAGCTTCTGCATTCATGTTCCATCAGATGTCACAGCTGTTGTTTGCGGTGACATCTATCGGAAACTAGACACAATCTGTTTTCCTATAATTGTTCACAGAGGACACTGCAGTGCAAAACATGTCTGGTACCTCTATGTATGCATTTAGATTATTATTCGAAGTTCTCTCTTTTTTACACAATCTGCACACAAAATAGCTCACCCCTCACAGAATTTCCCGACGAATTTTATGTATGGGCGGGGCATAAAGTATCTTTTGCGCAGAATATGTAAAAAAGAAGGGACTTCAAATGTAAAATCAAATGCATATATAGAGGTACCAGACATGTTTTGTATTGTCAGGTACTCTATTTTGTAATCTGTGAAAGGGAAATCACAAATCGAGTGTCAATAAAATACACGGCATATTGAGAGACTGAGGTCGGGAGAGCAAATTTTCTCTCTTAAATTTGAATTTTTTGGCTCTCTGGGAACTGGTAGTAAAGCAGGTAAAACTGTATGGGGAAAAATCATTTTTAATTAATTGTAGCTTGTTTAACAATAATTTCCGGGAAAAAACTGAACGCCAAGTCCCTGATTAATTTCTTTAGGTTGTCGTTCACTTTTTTTGACCTGAATATGCACCGAAAGCGAATTATTCCCACTTCTCTCAATTTCTATATGGGGATTTTTATCACTTCCTACCAGCGGAACAGCGCCATCTCTGTGGAAAATGGTCGAACAAAATGATTAATTGTTTTGGCAACCCTGAAGAATACAGATCTATCTGGCAGTGTACGTTCTGTTTGTGGTGCTTAAGATCGATGGAAAATTGCACAGCTTTTTCGACAAGCTTGATGTGCATCAATATAAGCAACATAACAGCAAGACAAAAAAAAAACATATATTCCAAGAAGCCACCAAACATCGCATCACAATTCTCACCTAAGATGAACCTTCAGGCTGGACGCCTCAATGAATGCCTTATCACAGTGCGTGCATGGGAATGGTTTCACCCCAGTGTGAATCCTTCCGTGTCTGGCGAGGTGACCCGGACTGTAGAACTGTTTCCCACAAACTTCACACTCGAACTTCTTTCCCTGACCACTAATACTGCCGCCACCGTCCTCATCCTCATCAGAGTCTTCATCCTCATCGAAATCACTTATCACATCAAACTGCTCTTCATCACCCACTAACATTTGCTTCACCGGACTGTCCAGGTCGATGTGATACATCTCCAGTTGTTCCTCGCCGTCCAGATCATCTTCATCGTCGTCCAGGACCACGTCCGCTGCCGGAAAGTAAAAGTCCGGCTCCACTTTGATCTGCTCTACACTGCTACTGCCCTTGCTGTCGCCGGTGGGCTCCATTGCTTTCTGCTTCTATGACGACTGGCTTCTGGCGAACTTCCTGCAAGAACAGAGATAGACGGAAACACTTTTAGTTACCTACAAACCAGAACAGTTTAAATAAACAGAAACATAACTAACAACTACTTTTCGCAAACAAAGACGTAAATATTTGCAGATGCTCCAAATCCAATGAGGAAAAAAGGGCACACTCACACGTATAGCCTCACCTTCGCTCGCTTACTGGGGCTGGCGGTATACCGCGGTAACCAGCAGCAGCCAGACACACCGAACTGACCTCTCAGGTTGAGCAACACTTGCCTGTATGCTTACTCATATTTTTTTTTTCTACTCACAGCCAGTGGGGGCTTGCTTTGACATCAACCTACTTTTTTCTCTCGTTTTATTTTCTGTTGAATGTTGATCATTCCAATTAATATCTGGGCCAAATCGGCGAGTGAATGAATCGAACGAGGCGAAAAAAAAATAATAGTAGGGTAAAAGTGCTTTCGAATGTACGAACGCGACGCGACGCCCCGACCTCGCTTATTGTGTGTGTATGTATCCTAGTTAGCATCAGCCCATAAGCGAAGCAACCGAAAAGAGCAAAGCAAAGCAACCATGTGGACGGTCGGTTTCGATGACGACAACGGTGAAGTACCTTCAGCGGCGAGAGTGAGAGAGATTTGAAGCTGAGCTGAGCTGAGCTGGGGGAGATCTGAATTTCGCATTTAGCGCAGAGAGGAACAATCAATCAGGGCAAGATGAATGACGATTTCTCAGGTCCACCTCAGTGCGATCAACGAAGATCATAAAAATAAATGACGAATGCGGAGCAGTAAATTTTGACAATTTATCCCACTGCGACCTAGCAAGAAGTACAGTCGACTTGTTTCGCGCTCCGGTATTTCGGAAGTTTTCTCGGTATTCGGTTGGTTTAAATTATCAGTTTTTTCTCGCTTAGTGATTACTGGCATAGTACCCGGCTAAACAATTATCTGAAAGTGAGTTTTTCTGAGAAGAAAGTGGTTTTCGGCGCCATCGGAAAGAAAATTGTTCACTTGCAATTGCATATTCGCAAACCAATTTGCGCTTCATCGGTGCGTGATCACGCATACCTGCACACAGATCATCGTCATCGAGTGTCAGCATCTGCCTCCGCATTTATACCGGTCATCCATCATCGTGTGTCCAGCTGAGTGCCGAGCCTAATACAAGCACACCACTACAAAGATCGCCCGCACACGCGCATCGAAGGTCACCCACGCTGCGCGTCGCTCCGCTGCTGCTGTGTAATCACTCGGTGGTAGTAGTATAGCAGATAAGTTTTTTTTTCCTGTTTCTTTCTTTCTCTCGCCCATCAGTTAAATTTAATTTTGTGTTTCTGTGTTTGTAGTTTTTTTCTGTTTATTGTGTCTGTGTGGTTTTAAGCATCGTTTCAGTGGTAGAGCGTTTACCGCTCCCACTAGTACGGCAAAATGGACGTCTCGTCAGAAGACGATATGGACATTTTGTCGGAAGATGACACCAGTTTGCCACTCGATGGCAAGAAAAGACGAAAACGTCCTGTCATTCATGGTTCGTCTCAGAAAAGCCCCCGATCGCGAGCCTATCCAGATGACTCGACTGGGCCATGGGTTGTCTACTTTCAGCCCAAAAACAAACCTTTGAACTTGATGCAAATTTCCACTGATCTGACGAAGCGATACTCAGCCGTGACCGAAATCACGAAGGTTAGGCATAATAAACTTCGTGTTGTCGTTTCTAACCTGAAGCAGGCTAACGAGATTGCTGCCTCCCAGCTCTTTACGATTGAGTACAGGGTTTACATACCAGCTCGTGATGTGGAGATCGAAGGTGTGGTCACCGAAGCGAGTCTGACCCCCGAGATCTTGGAGAAGCAGGCGGTTGGCCGTTTCAAGAACCCCTTGCTCCCCCCGGTGAAGATACTGGATGTCCAAAAACTGGGCTCAGTATCTGTCAGCGAGGGTAAAAAGAGTTTTACCCCCACAGACTCGTTCCGTGTGACCTTTTCTGGTTCAGCCCTTCCTCACTACATCGAGCTGGGAAAACTTCGACTACCTGTGCGCTTGTTCGTTCCCCGGGTCATGAACTGCCAAAACTGTAAGCAGTTGGGACATACGGCGTCCCACTGTGGCAGCAAGGCACGCTGTTCCAAATGCGGGGAGAAGCACGAGGATGGCGCCTGCACAGTCACTGCACCAAAATGCGTGTACTGTAAGGGAACTCCTCATGGTCTCTCGTCATGCCCGGTGTACAAACAACGCGGGGAAAAACTAGAGCGCTCTCTTAAAGAACGTTCCAGGCGGTCTTTTGCAGAAATGCTTAAGACAGCCAAGCCATCGACCAACGAAACAAATCCCTTCGCTCTTTTGTCAGATGACGAGTCTGGCTCTGACTTGGCTGAGGAGGGAGTTTCTTTCAGTTTTCCGGAAGGTTCTGCCCGGAAACGAAAACGCATCCGTTCGCGGAAAGTTGCAGATCAAGAACCCCAAATCAGCTTGCCCAAATCAAGGAGTGGTGGAAAAAAGGAGACTTCTACTCCTCCTGGATTCCGCAGAACTGATTATACCCAGGATTTTCCACCTCTCCCGGGGACATCCAAAACCCCCGATGCCCCAATTTTCAGAACACAAGCCCTTTCTTCATCTGGGTTGTTCTCATTTGATAACATTGTGGACAGTATCCTCAATTACCTCGATATTTCTGATCCTCTGAAAAGCATTGTTCTGGCAATGCTTCCTACTGTGAAAACCCTCTTGAAGCAGTTGACATTGAAGTGGCCCCTCCTTGCAGCAATCATCTCCTTCGATGGATAATTTTCCAAACGAGGTCGGGGATTTGATCACTGTTCTACAGTGGAATTGTCGAAGTCTTATTCCTAAGATAGAATCGTTTAAGTTTTTGGTTCACAATAATGATTGTGATGCATTTGCTCTATGTGAAACTTGGCTCTCTTCAGATATCGATCTTCCTTTTCATGATTTTAACATTATTCGACTGGATCGTGAGGATTCGCGTGGAGGAGGAGTACTTTTGGGGATCAAAAAGTGCCATTCCTTCTATAGAGTGAATCTTCCACAATTTCCAGGTATTGAAGTTGTCGCATGTCAGGCTTTTGTTAAAGGCAAGAGCCTTTGTATTGCTTCTGTGTATATTCCTCCCCGAGTTTCGATTAGTCAAAAACAACTTTCAGATATCTGTTCAGTTCTTCCTACTCCACGGTTGATTATGGGAGATTTTAATTCCCACGGTACAGGCTGGGGGGAACTGTATGATGACAACCGTTCTACTTTGATATATGACCTCTGTGATAACTTCAATATGACAATTCTTAACAATGGAGAAGTAACACGTCTGGCTGGTCCATCCTCAAATGGAAGTAGATTAGACCTCACACTTTGCTCTAATTCATTATCGTTGGATTGCACGTGGAATGTGATCCAGGATCCCCACGGTAGTGATCACTTGCCGATCAAAATTTCGATTGCCAGTGGGTTCAATTCGTCGGAATCCGTTAACGTCGCGTACGACCTCACCCGTAATATCGATTGGACAACGTTCAAGACCGCGATAGATGAAGCCGTGTCGTCGGTAGAAGAGCTTCCACCGTTGGAGGAATATAACTTCCTCTCCAATCTGATCTTGGACAGCGCGCTTCGAGCTCAAACTCGGCCGGTTCCAGGAACGTCTTTTCGTAGGAAACCTCCTACCCCTTGGTGGGACCAGCAATGCACTGAGGTTTATCGTAAAAAGTCCGACGCGTTTAAGCTTTTCCGGAAACGCGGAACACCCGAGTATTTCGAAGCGTACTCGACTCTTGAACACGAACTCAAGAGCCTCATCAAAGCCAAGAAACGCGGATACTGGCGGCAATTCGTGGACGGTTTATCGCGCGAAACGTCGATGAATACGCTTTGGAACACGGCGCGAAGGATGCGTAACCGGTCTTCAAACAACGAGAGCGAGGAGTACTCGGATCGGTGGATTCTCAAGTTCGCGCGAAAAGTATGTCCTGATTCCGTGCCGGCACAGATGATTCCTCGCGAAACGACGAATTCGGTAGACGAGATCAGCCAGCCTTTTTCAATGCTAGAGCTCTCACTCGCGCTCCTTTCGTGTCGCAATTCGGCTCCGGGGGCTGATAGGATCAAGTTCGACTTGTTGAAGAACCTCCCAGACGTCGCTAAGAGGCGCATGTTGAACTTGTTTTGTCAGTTCCTGGAGTTTAATATTGTTCCAGATGATTGGAGGCGAGTGAGAGTTATAGCCATTAAAAAGCCTGGAAAACCCGCGTCAGATCATAACTCGTATCGTCCCATCGCGATGTTATCGTGCATTCGAAAATTGTTGGAGAAAATGATCCTTTTTCGCCTCGACAAATGGGTTGAGACGAACCACCTACTCTCAGATACTCAATTTGGTTTCCGTAGGGGTAAGGGAACGAACGACTGTCTCGCGTTGCTTTCCACAGAAATCCAGTTGGCTTTTGCTAAAAAAGAGCAAATGGCTTCTGTGTTCTTGGATATTAAGGGGGCTTTTGATTCAGTATCGGTTGAAGTCCTTTCAGACAAACTCCACGCTTGTGGCCTTTCCCCATTAATTAATAACTTTTTGTACAATTTGCTGTCAGAGAAACACATGAGCTTTTCTCATGGAAACTCTACAGCTTCTCGATTTAGTTACATGGGTCTCCCCCAGGGCTCATGTTTAAGCCCCCTTTTGTACAATTTCTATGTCAGAGAAATTGACAATTGTCTAAGTGACAACTGCACGTTGAGACAACTTGCAGATGATGGCGTAGTGTCTACGACAGGGCCCAAAGGGGTCAACCTGCAAGGACCCTTACAGGATACCTTAGACAATTTGTCTACTTGGGCTATCCAGCTAGGTATCGAATTCTCCACGGAGAAAACTGAGTTGGTCGTTTTTTCTAGGAAGCATAGCCCAGCACAACCAAAGCTTCAACTTTTGGGTAAACCGATCACTCATTCCATGTCTTTCAAATATCTTGGGGTCTGGTTCGATTCCAAATGCACC